TTACTGACTTTTATTACGTCCTTGTAACCTGTTTCTGAAATCACTACCTTTGTATCAGGGCCCTTGTGCAAAAATGTATTACTGTAGTAGAACTGTTTCATCATAAACCTATGCTCAGCAAAATTAGCTAAAGCACAACAAGTATATTAAGATAGAAGACAAGATAAAACCTGATTGTAATCTGGAATTAAGCAAGTCTTATGCATTTCAATTACCATATAATTTGCACTAAAAGGCCCTCAAAACACATAAAGACCAGAATTCTACTGAATCCAGGCTCATTACACTGCACCTTGACTAAGCCCCAGTAATTAGCATTGGTACAGGCATTGTACAGAAGCGGCAACACCCTCATCAACACACATTTACAACAGAGCTCTAAATCTGCAGCTCATTAATAGCTTGCCTCCCAATCAATTATTAACACCTACAATGGAAGCCAGGCACATCAGGGCCAGGCCTCTTACTCCAGGCAAACCGTGGGCCACCTTCTCCTCCTGGTTCTGTCCAGAATAGGTAATTACTGCTTTTAAAGACACCTGCTACTCAATAGCTTCGACCCAGACTGTTAATTTAGCCCCCTGATTGCAGACATTTATGTCTGAGTGTCACTATTAATTCGCGTTAATTTGGAGAGTGTGAGGAAGCTGGGCGGAGGCGTTGTCAGCAGCCGGTTGAATTTGCTCGTTGCTCACCTGCGTCAGGGCTGCGGCTGTAATTGGAGTCTAATGGTCTGATTGATCAGTGAGAGAAGTGAGGGATGAGATGGCGTTCTGGCAGCTCCATCAGTCAGACAGAGAGGAGAGGGGAGAGGGGGAGGAAGAGGAACAGAGCAGCCAAAGTGGCTGACAGCAACAGCAAAGCACAAGAGCTTGGGTGGTTTATTCTCTTTAGGTTTTTTTCCTCTCTCCTAATTTTTTTGTCTTTCTGTTACTCACTTGGAGCCCCCCTCATCTGTCTACCTCACCTTTGCCTTATGTGTTACAAAGTGTGCTGACCCAGGCTAGTTGCTTAGTTTTCAGTTCAGACTCTGGTATCTGTCTTCCAGTACAGTTGTGAGCCTTGTGTTTCTTTGATTTGAAATGAGCTAGCTATGTACTGTACCGTAAGCTACGAATTCTAATCTTAGAAAACATGACATGTAGAAAGTAGTTCAGTATTTGGATGAATTCAAACTATATGTGATCTAAGAATGATAGAGCATAAAAATAGCACAGTATGAGCTGTCCAGTACAGTTCAATGAGACTGTGGTAACAAGTCTTCAGCAGCAATCACTATAACTCCAGTCCCTCATGCTGAGTTGCGCCCCGGGGGTCTACAGACCTGCCACGGCCGACCCATCAGCTGTGAAATCTGCTTTCCTCTTTGATAAACGGTTGAGATGTGACCCTATCTCTGTCCAGCAGATGCCCAGATTTCCTGTCATGCTTTTTCCCCTCTGTTTTTTCCTGTCTCCCGCCCTCGCACTCTTCTCATTCTTTCTTTTACAAGCTTCGTACTTCTCTTTCCAGGCTTGCCTGGACAACTGTTTGTAACGCTCCACTCGCCGTTCTTTCTCGACACCATCCATCACTCCGCTCAGCTACTGAGGCCTGTCGTCCACCAGCAGCCAAAGCCACACTGGCTCCCACGCTGCAGCACATGCAGTTAGGCCAGCTCCAGCTCCCACTTGCTGCCTCTAGGGACCCCCCTCCTCTTACCTCCTCCCTCCAGAAGACTATACTCGTCAGACACCAGCCGGATCTAACATACTTTCCTCTTAAATGGCTCTGCACATGCCAAAGTGCTGCTCCTGTCTAGTTTAATGCAAAAGCTACTTAAATTCACAGTATTTTCATTATTTACTCTAAGCCACTTTAAGGAGTCATTACACTTTAGTCTCTCTCTGGGCGCCATGCCAAGGATTCAGAAACAGACCTATATGCACTGTACTTAGTGGCTCAACAAAAATAGCTTGACCTCTAAAAAGCCATATCTTAAATGATGTGTCTGAATGAAGGGATAAAACACGTTTGAGTTCAGAAAGGGCATATCAATATCTCACCTGCAGGTCAGGTGTTTCAAGCACGAGAGAGGTATCACCCTTGCTTTAAACCTGGCTGCCTTTGGGTAATTCATTCACCTCTGTGGTTTCAAAAAAATCTCAGAGTTAAAAGAGATTTGACAGTCAGTGGAGGTCACACTTCATGAGGCTGACTGAGACTGCCTCCTAGCTGAAGTAGAGCCTTTACTCCTACCACAAACACTTTCTCCCTCCTTCTGAACCCCAGTCTACATCACTGGCTGCCCTGACATGCATCAAAACTACCCCCCACCACCCTTTTCTCTCCTCCCTTTCCTCACACTCACATTTGTTATTTCAACTTTTCCCTCTCCAGGTGAGGCATCAGGGTTTGTTCCTGTCTGGATGTGTCAGTGTTTGAAGATTTACACAACTCCCTTGCCTCCCACTGAAATAACTGAGATAAATGTAACACCATATTAGGGATGTTGCCAATGGCTGCATGTTTAACAAGGCAACAGCTTGATGGCTAGAGGTTTGATAAAAAAAAAATAAAGAAATAAAGCCATGAAGCAATGCTACTGTAAATGAGATTATTCTCTAATGATGTGCAAGAATACAAGAACTGACTGATTGACTGAGTTTCTGGCATATTCAGCATCCAAGAAACAAAGTAAAAAGTTATAGCGAACCATAAAAGGAGGCTGAATAAAACAAAACACACCAGCTGGGTTGACCTAGCCTTTAATGAGAGATAGTGAGAAACTGCTAACAGCCAGTACCCCATTTGAGAGACGAAACTTAGAAAAGGAGGAGGGCAAGCATTGAAAGGGCCCCCATGAGAATAGACACACATGAGATCCTTAAAGGCAATATGCCAGAGTTTCTTCCTCTGCTTTTAATTGCAAGGGAGGTTTGGCATATTCTGTAACCCTTCCACAGCCTATTACAGGTGACGACCAGCACCTGCTCACTTAAAAAAAAAAAACCTGAGGAGGATCTGGAAAGTAGCAATGAATTCCTCAGAGGGCACTTAGTTAGGAACTTATCATCTCGCCAAAAGCCACAATCATTTTATGCATCGAGTTCTTCCTCTACTGTGATGTGATGAATTGGTGAAGTTTGTATCTACAGAAAACACCCAAGCAAAAAACATTCAGAAAGATCTTTAATATGACATTCCTTGCTAAGTCTGAAGGATATATGAGGGACAGTTAGAGGTTAGTTTTGGATGCCTTCCAGGGAAACACATGCAAAAATTGCTGGAGAAATAAATGGAATGTGTTACTTTGGAAAGAAACTTGAGGTGTTGCATTGTCAAATCACTTTTCCACAACCGGCTTTACCCCGAGAGAAGCCACATTTCATGGCTATAATACAGCCTGGGTTATTTAAAGCCACTGATGACTTCAAAACCATAAGGGGAGCTTAGAAAACAGATGAAACTGCTCTGAAATGATTTAATAAAGTTATGCGTTTGAGGAGTCTGGGAAAACGGGGGTAGGGCCTCTGAGTCCAACATCCATCACAGACTTTCCCTTAAGTTTCTCAACAGGATGAACATGAGTCTGGTTACAAATTTAATAGGAACTTCTTAATTAATCCAAATGCAGAATGGAATATCAAACCCCACGGAGGACTTGTCACTGCACCAGAGCAGCAGGTCAACATGAGCCTCTGCTGGGATCTTTTAAACAAGAGATAGAAAGCTGCTCCATGCATGGGTAACATCAGAAATAACGGACTGAAGCCTGGAATGAGCTACACATCTACCAATTAAAGTGTTTTGTCATAATATATGCAGATTAAATGGTTAAAATGGATGCACTTCAAAGGCTTTTGTTGGCGACCAGTTGGATGGTGGAAGGATCACCTCAGTAGGCTTAAATGGCATGGGAATTACCATTAACATGGGTTCAGATGTAGGACTAGTAATCATGTTGCTATGGCTGCTAAAGGCAAAGTCTGACCAAATTAAAGTATTTCACTACAGGTTTTATGATCCTGACAGTTTTAGTGATTAGCTTTTAGAGCAAATAACAAACATACTTTATAAAAGGGTGATAGGCTGTAACTAATGTCTGTATAATGATAATAAATCATTTATTAAGCCTTTACTGATTAGTAGTAAACCATTAATAATACCATTCGGGTCACCAGTTAGGGTTTATGTATCTTGCTTGTGTACTGTACATTTAGCACAACCTTCTTTTTAGTTTGCTTTTTAATTTATCATATGGACTCCCCAATGGCAGTTTGATCACTTGTCAAAAGTGCTTTAGAGCATCCTGAGCAAAATCCATTTATTAAGAATGAGTCTCATCACTTATAAGACTTTATGAAGAACCGCTCATTATATTCCTTCTAATAAAGCCCATAGACTTTGGTATGCTGCACTCAATACAAAACTGTCCAGCTGACATCAAAAACTCAATGGAACACTGTTTTATTTCAGACATTCTGGTTATTAACCCTGAACATATTTCTGATGGTACTGCCAAATCAAGGACTCCTGTCAGAAAAGAGAAAACATTAAGTGTAGTACTGAATTTCATCCTTCATTTTATCAACTTGGGGACACTGGAAAGAGTTAACCAGTGCTACTGTATAGACAAGTACAATTGTCTCTCGTTGCTTAACTTTGTCATATTTCTTGTCTATTACAATGTCCTTTTTATCTGATTTGACCAGTCTTGTACAGATTGTACAAGGCTCTTCACAAAAATTATGAGATGGGATCATGTGTTTTATTATGCTTAAAGCAGGGGCAGCACTGTGGTGCAGTGGTCAGCACACACTTCTGTAACTTACTAGTTAATTACTTCAGCTCTATTTGACTTTATTCTGTTTCCAGTTGTTTTGAACCTTTGCATTTTAAGTCTGTCTTGGTTCATTTTTGTTTCAGTTTGTAAATTGTTGCATACTCATGGTTGATTAATATTAGAAAGTGGTACCCTAATGTTAAAACATTATGCAGTCAACCATATCAAGACATACCAGTGCAGTGTTGTCAGTGCTCATCTCAATCTTCCCCTCAAAGGGTCCCCATGTTGTCCCCACAGGGAGCTGTTGCCGGCTGTGGATCCGACGCTCGCCATCTTTAAGGAAGGCATCCAGCTCTCCTAAAAACACAGCAGAACCCAACACAGTCAGCAACAGTGCTCTATATACCTATATACCGAGGTTCCAGATTAAATCACAGTGACACTCTGTCATTGTCCTGTCCCCTCAAACCTTCATGTGCGATCACATTATTGCCTCAGAGCCCTGCAGTAAACAGTGGAGGTTAAAGCCAAGCATTTTCCAAATGGATAAGCAAATCAAGTGAGCATCCATCTGATGGTGTACCTCAAATACATGGCACCCTAACCTTACTTGAAAGGTGTCTTGAGTTGAGATAATCTTTGTGAGAGAGTGCAGGCTCACTGGCTGGCAACAGAAGCTAGTGGCAGGCGTATTTCTGTTGTTCCAGGAAGGCTGGGCCCTTGTTAGTGTTGTGCAGAGCTCCAGTTAATTAACAGTGAAACAGGATAGCACTGCTAGTACTGCCAGTGCTCTGCTCACCTCCCTGACACCCCCTGCTATCTTATCGCTAAGATTCAGTGTACTTTTTTGTGGATGGTGATTAATCAAATAGTTATGATAAACCTCCATGGCAGACTGTGACATAGTTTACCAAGGATACCAAGGAGGATGTTTCACTGTGTACAGTATGTATATATAAATGTGTGTGTGTGTGTAAGTATGCAGCTCTCAGCTGTACATTCTTGACTGGTTGCCTTGACAACCCTAAGAAGTTTTGCTGGAGGAAGTGTGATGATTCAGACATCTGTAAGTCCTAGTTTAATAAACTTTCTGGACACAAGAACTTCAACAATCTCAGACAGAACATATTTTGATCAAGTCTGAGTCATGTTTGAAGCTCTCTTAAACGTGTCTGTCTGATCACTGGGTTGATCGTTGACAGTGTCAAAAACTAGGTCACCTACAGGACATCATTATTTTTATGGGACAAGTTGAATGGGCTGAAGTGAAGTTTCTGCATATGTGGTATAATGATCTATTCAGCCCTGTTCTGTTTTGTTAATATGAGCTGTGTATCTGCAGAACACGACTGTGTCCATCTGTTGTGCTGGTATGAAAATGCGCACTTACGCTCTCTCATATGCATAAACATGATCTACACATCAGGCTAGTGTTATTACCCGGCATAAATGACACCTTGCATATCATATACTCAAAGGTGGTCACTCCGGTAACAAAATGTCACCCATAATCCACTTGTTTGACCAAGCCTTTGTTAGATTTAAACAGAAAATCTGTGACACACACAAAAGGCATTTACTTATTTTTTTAGAGAACATCAATGTATTTTTTTGAAACAGGTCCAAAAATAAGATAATCTTGACAGTCTTTTCACATGCTTTTCCACTCTCCCCCTCCCATGTCCCTGCTGTTGCATGCTGTCTTCCTGGTGCTGCAGTGGAAGGCGGATAAGCTCATTACAGAGAAATAATTAAACAGTGGTGCACAGCTGGTCGTCATCACTGAGAGCAACAGCCACCGCTTGATGCATTCTGTTTGTCCTCAGATAAGACCCACGGCCTTTAACCGCTTGGATGCAAGTTCCTGTTAAGCCCTGCTTGACACACAGCTATAGTCATTCCCAGCCAGAGACTCTGAATCCTTTCCCCTTTTCTTTCTTTTTGGTATGCTTGGAGTAAAAGGGGGGAACAGGTACTGTAGGTATGAGAAGGGGGGCAAAAAGGGGTGCGATTCAATTTGTGCAGTTTGTGGTTCACCATGTTTAGGTGCCAGTTGCTTGCATCTCACACCAAATGTTGCCCGAGGACCTTGGCTCACAGATGGTTTGTCACATCTGTTGCAGATACTAGTGGAAGATCTCCACAAAAACACCTGCACATGAATAATGAGTTCATTTTATTGATAGCTTGTATGTTCTCCACAAGCATTTACAGGACTAATAACACTGCAGAAATATATAGACAGATGTGTTCTATTAGCAACTGGGCTACTACTTTCTTTTTTTTTTGTAATTATTGCTGCAAGAAGTCTACTGCCTATTTGTCATGAATAAATCTAGAACAAAATACTGAAGCCACAATTTTTAACCAGTCAAACTGAAAATGGCCACCAGAATCAAGAGGAAAGCTCACAGTGGGCTATTATGAGGTTTAACCAGCCCAGCGCCTGCGTTCTTTCATCAACGCTCATCATCCAATCCTCAAATGCCACCCACTTGGCAAAACATCAGCTCATGATGTGGCTTGAGAGCTGTACCACATCCTTCATATCCCAACCAACCCCTCTCTCTATCAACTTCACCCGCAACTACCACCCCTCAACCACCACCACCTACACCCTACCCCCCACCCCTCCCTCGATAAGATCATCATCTGTCGCTAGACTCTGGGGTCTGTTTCTGCACTCCACGCATACTTGGCAGACCAATGAATGTCCCTTTGTGTGAAGAGATCCTCCTCAGATAGCACCCAAGATGCTCCACACTGGCATCTGTTTGTGTTTTCATGTGTGTATGTGTGTCCTGTCATTCTTTTCTGTTATAGTGCAGAGGAACAGGGAACCTCATCTCTTTCTTCAGTGGCATACGACTGAATGCTAATGAGTGTCTCGGTGGCAGGGTGCCAGCCTGGTATACATGGGTGTGGACTATTGACAGAAAGAGACCCTAAAATATATTTATATAATGAAACAAATTCTTTAATATGCAAGTTTCTACTTTTATTTGTCATTATTTGATTTAATTTGATTATGATTGGAAAAATCACCTCATGTGCCACATGTATATTCTGTGTCAGTTGTTCTAGCTTGTCCTGCAAGGTGCATGGTGCTGACACTGCTTGATATTTTCAAGCCCAATACTACATAGTTTGTATGACTGCACCATAAAATCAAATGGGAACATAAATGGTTCTTGTACATAATTTGAACCACATTCCTGGAAATCTTTGGTATCAAATCTTTGGAGACATTCACATTTTTATCACAAAGTTCTTGTAAAGTTCATTTTAAGTTTGGTTTCTAAGTTACACTTTTCTGAATTTTAAAATACACAACTCTCTCATCAAGTTGCTATAACACCCAAATACAGAAGTTTTTGACTTAATTTTGAAGTGGAACTCATAGTATTTTCCTTAATTCCTGAAAATTCAATGGCAGATTCACATTTCACTGCAAATGCTTCTATTAATGCACATGAAGTGTAGATCTGAATTTTCTTAATGTAATTTCTGGCCTGGAGTAAGATCTCTGCTAGTTGTCAGAGATGATAAATAGCATCATCAACTTGCTACTGTAGGTTAACATTTGTTAAAGCAATGGGTCTGCTCGAGCCTTTTCAACATGAATTTTACTTCTCTAACTAGTTCAAAGAACCAACTTCAGTGCCTTCAGCACTAAATAAAATACTGTGATTACTGACACAGCTGGTGATTTACTCCACCTTTTATACGAGTTTATTAAGAGTAAAGGAAGATGTTAAAGGGAAACAAAGAACGACAGAATAAAGAAGTGGGAAAATATGTCTGAGCTTCGTACATCTGACGATCCCTCTTGATATCATGCAATACCTTTGAATCAAAGCAAACAAATGACTGCTGTTCAAAGTTCAATAATCTGTGTGTAGCAATTCACAGATGTCCTACTGAATCCCAGTCATCTCTACTGATAGGCCGTGTTATAGAGCCAGCAAATGGGCTATAAATTAATATACCATGAGAGGCATATGGGGTGAAATAGAATGCACTGTATCGGTTCAACAAAAGGTGCCACATCTTTAAAGCAGATAAGTGAGATGAAATTTTACAGCTGAAGGAGAAATGTCACAGAGCTTTGATAAGAGAGCGATGAACTTTCTGCCCCTCTACCCAAACAGCTATTATCAGGTCCTACTGAGCAAAATGCATCATTTATATCTCACAGCCCACACTATTATCTCAGAAAAAGACAGTTGTTTTAAAACAGCAGAGGAACCCCAGCACCAGCAGTGCCACCTCTTCTTCTCCTCCTCTCCCTTCTGCCCACCTCTTTCTTCCCAACCCGCCCTAACAAACCTAGACTGGCTGCATCTGGCCCTCAACAGCAAGGGGAAAGCTGGCCATTTGCTGGAGAGCAAGTTTCCAGGTAACCATGTGAGTTTGGCCACATGAGGAGGTGGGTAAAGGGGGAGAGGGAGGAAGGTGTGATTTGGTACCCCTTCAGGGCAGGCTTGTTTACAGGAAGTGGACGAATTGCAGGGTAAAAGTTAAACAAGCCACAGGGATTAGGACATTTTAGCTATGACACTCTATGCAGGCTGACAAGGGGGTTGTGGGATTTTGTGAGGGTTGCTTGGAGGGAAGTCTGCAACACCAAAAGGCCTGGCAATGCATGCAAAATGTTGTTTTCAAAGACTCAGCCAGGCTAACTGTTTCCCCCTAATTCCAGTCTTTATGCTAAATTAAGACAACTAGCTCCTGACTGCAGCCCTTAAAGGACAGATTAGAGTGTATCGATCTTTTCATGCAAGTTCCCACCAGAAAATGAAAATTATTCCTTAATAAAATGGCAAATCTTTGTTGTAGTTCTTTAACAGGACTGTGACAAGCCTGACCACCCACAACCCCGGCTTTGTGCTTCACTATATAAATAGCACACTCCTGCACTGGCACTGACATAAGCATTGGATGTATATCATGAAGTGTGGAATATGGAATAGTGATACTGGACTAGGTGTTAATGTGGAGATCCAAAGATCAGGATTATGCCATGACCACGACCCTGTTTCAGTCTGGACTGCAGTAATTAAAGTATTGAAGAAATGGGAAAGTTTAGATTAGTACAGCTGCACACCTACACCCACTCACACACAAGGACTTGGTCCTGCAGTACATTATCAACACGGAGACTGTTGTTTGGTGTCATTGAACAATTGAAATATACCAGCTGTCAAGTCCTCCATTTCATCAAAAGCTCGGTGAAGTTAACAGCAGGCTCGCTGACAACAATCTCTGAGACATCCATCTTTAGAGAAGCACTGCAATTTCTATTGATAGCATGTAAAGGGAGACAGCAAAACTTAAAGAATGACTGTCCTCACACA